AAGGCTTGCTGACCGGAGCGCGTTTTAATTCCTGTTTTATGTTAAAGTGGAAGACTAACCATAGATGAAGTTTCAGATATATCTTTAGTGAGACAACGCTGATAAAAATTTATCATCTTCTTCAACAATTGCTGCAGAGGATATAAACACCTGAATGCCAAGGTGCACGAGGTCTCGCCCTGACTGTCCAGGCGAGCAGATTGATCTGTACAGCGCTGAGGTGGGGCCACACACGTAGTCCAGGCTCACCTCCCCACGTCCGGGCCAGCCTCTCGCACCTGTGGCCTCGCTCCCTTTGCAACATGATGTCACTGACCGACACCTTCAGGGGCCTGGTTGCAGACGCCGTTGGGCCATTTCTGTGGGCCGCAGAGAACGTGATGTGTCAAGCCTGGCCCCGTGCGGGCCTCCCTCTCCTCTCCCTGCTCATCAAACTCATGCCCACCCCCCACTATACCATCAAGTGCGTCCAGACTGGGGGGCGGACACAGTGACCGCAGACAGGCCTGGGCGGCCGGGCGCCATGACAGCCTGGTATGGAGCAGTCTGAGGCCGCGTTTCCCACTTGCGGGAGGGAAGGCTGCTCGCTCTGGAGCTCGGGTACCCGCTGCACTGGCCGGGCAGGGCTCAGGGGAAGCACAGCTCCTACGGCCCAAACAAGAAGTAAGTTTGTGGGCAGTCGAGAAGTGTCTAACGTCCACAGAGAGGCCCAGAGGAGTCTCGAATGTGTGCCAGATCGCCCCTCCAGGGACAGCGCCCACGGGCCGTGTGTGGGTGAGAGTTAGCCCCTGCTTTATTACCCCGGTAGCTCCCAGGCTCCTGTGCCGCTGGAGTCCAACTGCCTCTGGGTACAGGCGGTGGCACCCCTCCCGGAGTAGGTCAGGACGCGGGTGCTGCCCAGCCCACTGCACCTGCTGCACGGCTGTCGCACCGTCAGGGCTAGTAAGATCAGAGTGCACCCACCTGTCGCTCCGTTCAGATGAGCAGTGACGATAAAGGAGACGCTCGGAGGCTGCAGAGTGCTTGGCCGAGGCCCCTGGTCGAGGCCCCTGGTCGAGGCCCCTGGTCGAGGCCTGAGCTCTGCTGCTGCGTCCTTAGGGTTGCCTTCTCCGTCCCGGGGCCCTTCAGTTTTCTCGTCCTTGTCATTGTCGATTGTGGCTCTGGGGTGCTGACCTCCGAGAGCAGCTGGGGCGCCGTCCCCCTCTCGGCCACGTCTCCGGCGGTCACGTTGGCCCACGTTGGGCCTCACGTATAATGGGTCCTGAGCAAACGTAAAACTATATCCACCCAGCAGCCATGCGAGGCGCTATGGGAGCGGGCGTCCACTTGGAAACGGGGAGTGTGAGGGTGAGAGCTGGCAAGCCATTTACTGCGCCACCAGGATAGTCAGAGCCACAGAGTGCCGGGAAGAGGTGAGCGCTCCGTCCCGGGAGAGCCTCGGCCTGGCAGGGCAGCCTCTGCGAGGGCGGCTA